CTGGTATTTGGCAGGACATTATATTAAGATTTGATTACCTTCATAACAATAAATTTAAAGAAGAACAAAACCAAAATTCAAGCAAGATGCTTTTATTAAAATTAATAAGTATATTTACAATATGATTGCAAAAAAACTTAACGCAAAAATGAATCTTAAATGTTACACGATCATATATATTTTTAAATAATATTAATAAATATATTATTATTATTATTTATATTATTATTATTCTATATTTTTGGCTCATAATTATTACGGTTCGCATCGACAATTACTTTTATACCATTTGAAATAATTCAGACAGAATAACTACAGGAAAAACAAAAAATGTACTTGTTTTTGGAAAACCTCTAATAAAAGTTTTAACTTTGCACAAATTGCGTGTGTCGTATGTAAAAAGATTTATTACTGGTCTCTTTCATGACACCGTCGTTACATATGGTAATGGCCCCTAGCACAGTGCCACTACTATAAGTTTACACTGACAGTTACTGCTCGCGAGCGCGTAAAGTTCCTATTTATTAATTTTTCTTAGCGGTCACAAGACATTTTGTTTACTTACTTATTTTTTCATCTGGCAGCAATAGTAATCCCTTTAGACACTCCATCTTCCGTATAATGTAACACCCTTGGTGGCATTTTCTCATTGCACAATATCTTCAGGTACCAATAGTTGACAGTAGTTACCTCCCAGTGTTTGACACCTCAATATACGACTGTCAAGCATTGGGTCCCCATACTAATATGGTCTTTGACACTCATGTCAAATACTACTCAAAGTACCCATAGAAACTTGTCACTAACGGAGGAACCCAACCCTGGTTCTTCGTCCTTACTAAATGGTCGAAATTAAGTTTTAAAAAATATTCAATTGTACGAGTGCTTGACATGGATGTCAACTACTAAACGTTGAAATTTTGCACCAGTATTTGATATGCCTCCAAAATAAAATATAAACGATATACATCAATAAATACACACACAAGAAATTCTTTGTACAGTTTTAACGAATAATTACAGATAATTAACAAAATTCCGACTAATAAATGCACTCAAACTATTCAGTCTTAACGATTTTAGGAAGAACACCAACGCCCTTTCACCTCGGATCACCTGTTTGCAGAAATTCTCGCCATACTGAAAAAAATATTAAATGAATTGAAGAACACTTCTAAGCCGAATTCATATATGCCATTAATAGTAAATTTAACACGGTTTTGGAAATATATCAATATTTCTTTAACAAATGAAGAAGTGTCATACCATACATTGGGAGAGTGTCAAACATGGGTACAATTATTTTACTTAGGAGCTCTGGACAATCAATCATATTCCGTGCAATGTTCAGAAGAAAACACGTACCAGCTATATTTCTTCGCAGCTAAAAAGGCAACAGATGAAATTTTTCACAACGTTGTATGTACTCCAATAGGGGCAGTTTAAATTTGTAACGTAGAAATCTAGTAAATTTCTTCTGTATACTTAATGCCGTTAGAGTAAGTATCGTAGTAGGGATTCCAAATTTGCGATGCACACACAAGGTGGCTGCGAACATAAATGCAATAAATAACTTTCAGGGCATTCATATTTTTAAACCTTTCTGAGGAACGAATGATGTATAAACAAGAAATATGTTGATCAAACAATAGCCTATTATCGTCTATAACTCTCAAATCTGATTCAAAGGTGTTTCTAATAATATTATAATTCTTTATTTTGTAAGTAAATTTAAAAATATTCCACTTTCGAGTAAAATTCTTATAATAACATTTTATTACATTGAAAGAGAGTCATATTGATTAAACTTTTGCTCATTCGTAAGGCCGATTCCCTTGAGAAGAACTCAAAGGGTTGCCCTTTGTAAAATATTCGTATACATTTATCATTTATAATATTTATTCTAAATAATATAAATCGAGACGCTTTGCAAGTCATTACCACGGGTTTTTGTCCGTTCACGCGATACTAGCAGCCGTCGACGCATACCACACCTAGAGGTGCCTGTGATGACTTTATACCGATTTATCCGGATATCGAAGTTATAACAGGTAAAAGAACTAATATTAATTGCTATTTCGGTAACTACTCTAGCAAACCATAAAGTTTTTAATGCCAGGGTCTGTCATTTAAAAAAATAAACAACTTCAAAAATACGTCACGACAATCGTGTGTTATTGTTTGGGCTGGTGATTTCGGTGTTTATTTATTGAAAACATATCGTAAGTAGCGTTTTTTAAGTTTACCCTGAATATAAATGTTTATAAACTATACTTTAAGGAGTAATTTCATGGTAAACGTTAGAACCACTCAAACGGAATATTATCATATTTATGCAAGTACACCAAAAGTTTCATTAGTGCTTTTTAAGTGCAGGATTGGCGGTGTATTACTACATTTTATTTGAGATGTTTTTGTTGGTAGTACGGAGGGTATTTATTTAGCAATGCAGAATAATAATTTTTATTTATAAAAACTTGTATTTAAACTGAATCCTTTTCTATTTTGCGAAACCAAATAGCCGCCATTTTGCGGTAGGAGGAGCGCATCGCGTGAGCGGATAATAATAATTTTAGTAATAGTAAAGCTTGTGAAAGAGTTCACCCCAGGTGGTACTGCACCCAAGCAGTAAGTTGAGCATTAGTGCTATGACGATGTGACCACCTTACATCATCCCACCTTTTTGTCGCCTTTTCTCCGGTTCTTGGCCACTCGTTTTTAAATTTTGAATCGTTCTTTAATTCCTTTGCCTTGTTTCGCTCCATCGTTACTGCCTGCTCTTCAAACAAAAATCTCTTATGCGATAAACATTTAAAAGATAAACCGGAATAAATATTTATAAAACCGGATTTACTACCTCTATTTCTTTTTACTTTTGATTTTGAACTTTAAACTCTCCAGGCTACATTAGAATGGACATGCTTAGGCAGTACCAGCAGAGGCACAGGGTATTCCGGTTTTGAGAGTAATGGTGCTGTTGAAATTACAGGTACATGGGACTTGTCATCTTTATGTCTCTGGGTGACGCAGTGGCAGTGCTCCTCATATCTGTGCGGGGTAAAGCTCTGGTAGGCACTGTAACTGTTATGGGTAGGCGTGTCTCTTACCAACGGCCGCATGACTCGAAAAACGTGTGTAGCCTTAATTTATTGTCTAGTTTAGGAGCCAGAGTCCTTAGATTTGCCATGCCTTTTCTACCTGTTTGTTTTATTTTAGTTTGTTTACATTTCTAATCAGTAAATTTCTTCTCTGTATTATATAAGGTTAAGGTGTGTTTTCGAATAAAGGTGTATATTATTATATTATTATTATTATCGTCATTTATTTAAGATTTACAAACATTTGATTCCATTACAATTTTATTCCCTTCGTACAAAGATCTTTAACAAAAACACGAAGAAGAATTTCGACAACTCGATAACTTGACCCGTAGCTCTGTTGGTAAAGCAATACTACGATGCAGTATGGTCGTGGGTTCAAGTCCCATCTGAGATCTGTTTATAACTCTTCTATTTAGGCCTAAAAGTTATCCACTAATATCGTTCTTAGAGTCTATAAACCTCACCCTTGAAAAGTTGTCAATTTGCAGATGTGGTCATATTACACCAAAGATGCGAGATACAGACAAACGATGAGCTGTGATAATGAAATATCCATGCCAAATTATCACATACGCAGCATACGCTCTTGTTTTTGTTCCTAAATAATCGTCATGTTTGGCTGGTTGGTAGACAATCGCAGCAAATCTGGCATCTAAACACATAGTGACAGTAATGACCACGTAGCCTTATCTCGTATACACAAGGCTAGATTCATGTGACGGAACAAGAAGTAATCCTTGAAGATGAACACGCATAAAAAGCAATGAATGGACCATCCATAAGACAAATGTGGATTTGGGGAAGCATATCTCTACGTTACCCTCATTTTATAACCGTATTAGTACTGTCAAAGGAATACATTCATTTATCACCGGATCAATTCTTCGACCCTACTTCGCTTTCTCATCCATATAACGCAACGCATGCCGAGAGAGATCATGAACCTTCTTTGTGGGTTCAACAACCTTCCTGACAAACCTCTTCCGTCTCCTACACTTGCATCAGTCTCTTCATATAATACCTGTTTATTCTTGGTACTTTTAACCTGGCCTTTTTAAAGACATCTCCAATCTGATCGGCATATTGACGTCCACATTCGCTTTATACATTTGTGCCATCAATCTACTAACATCTTTCGTATATTTCTTTTTCTATTCTGATTACTACATTATCTTTCACGCCAGAAAGCTGTCTTGCTGTATTGTCAAATACTATATCAGAATTTTATATATATGACATTTCGAAGGATACCTTTTACCTTGTTTACCTTTTCTCAATTACGGTAAAAGAGTTCAAAGAAATATTTCCCCAAAAGATTCTGTTCGACAAATAATTTCAGGGTAAAACGTGCGCGGACAGCCAGCGGAATATCTTACAGTCGATAACTCGTAAAACGCCGACACAACGTTTTATACGCGGCTATAAATTCTCAATACCATTTCTGTAATAATTCAAAATTTACCACGACCCCCTTTTGTTGGGATTCCAAATGTGATTGTTAAAATTACTTTGTGGGTTTACTTACCTACTTTATTGTGATTTATGGTTTGGTATATGTTTATGTAGTGATGTACAAAAAAAGTGGTACACACATATGCATAGGGTATAGTCGAAACACGGAAAAATATGTTGGAAAAGATTCCTCAAAATTTTTAAAGAAATTGAGAGGCCCCTGCCGAATATTGGGTAAGCGTAGAATGGGATTAAATGTTTCATCTTATACAGATTAGATATTGTATTAAGGCGGATGCTTTTGCCAAGTTATAAAAAATTCATGAGCCCAATCATCCTTTAGCAGATAGACAGACAGTCTGGTTTCATAGAACTCGACGGTGTCAGGGCCTTGCTCCACTTTTTACCCTTCTAAAGCATCGTGTAACTGTCTCATTTTTGTTTCAGGCCAAAAAGCGGCTCAATGCTGCTGTACAGCCGAAAAAAGGTGCGATACCGACGCGACGGTTACTGCTGGAAGAAACGAAAGGACGGCAAGACCACCAGGGAAGACCATATGAAACTCAAAGTGCAGGGCACAGAGGTGAGTTTGAGTTGTTTTATTAGTAAACATAATTATTTGAAGAGGAGCAGATTCAACCAGAAAAAAATTTCAACGTACATAAAAGGCAACAGTCGTAAGAACCATCCCTAAACACGGACAAGAAAATGGCCCGACGTATAGACAAAGTACGGTAGCGGTAATAGCATCTTGATGATGATGGCTAATGAGTTTAATTGTTCTTTAATGTGGAAATTTTCCCATAGGAAAAAATAACAGTATCATAAACCTCTTGAGATATCTTCATAACCGATTTGTTTTGTTCAATGATCAGATTCATTCTCCGAACATATTTATTTAGCAGATTCAGAACGCTGTTCAAAACCTATTCCGATGACGCCATTAGACTACACGCGTACGGTATTTTTAGATGTAGCTTGAATACATCTTTCAAAGTTTAATAAACATTTTCATAATAAAATATGACTAAGGTAAAATACATAATAAGCAATCTTCTCTAAACCACAAATAATGAAATTCTACGGAAGCCAGCAACCGTGAACCCTTTAGACGCGCTAATTACTGAGTTCAGATTAACATCAGATTTCTTAGCAAAACGTGAACTATAACCTTTTTTAACCACAGGCTAATAATTCACTTTACCTTTTTTAGTCTGGGTATTTTCAACGCTTTGAACACATTTTTACTCAAGCCAAAATTATGTGCGTCAGTATTTGTGCTCGTTGTATTTTCGACGTTCTGAAATCAGATAATTCAAAGACTCCTTCAAAAAATAAAATTTTTTATGATGTCCAATCGTCGGAGAAAGGTGTTCCACACATATAGACTTGTATAGATACAGCTACAAAGAGCGACATAGATTTGTTAAAACCACCAAATATTAATTAATTACTTTATCGAATTCTAGATTTCTGGATATGGTTTTACTGCATCGTAACACAAAACTACTGACCTAGGAAGTAGAAATTGGATTTTAAAGTAATTCTAATGGTGCCATGTAAAAAAAATGGAGTTGACAACTGACCTTTTACCAAAGCAGAAAATGAAAAAGTAACGAGAATGGTCACTCTCCGCCCCTCCCTAACTTTAGATACCGCACTGCGCCCCGCATATTGATGGTCACATTGACGGAACGGTGATATTTGCTAGTAGAACTTAAGAAAACAATTTAAAGAAAATGTTTACGAGGCGAATTTTGGGATGTATTAGGTCGCATGAGAATCGTTGTGGTCGCCCTCTAAAAATATATAAAAATTTAAAAAAACCACAAATGTTCATAAAGTGGAACTAGTAGAAACGTATTTTAAAAGGAAAATGTTCACGCTAGATTATTTTAAATAATGCCATTTTTGACTGCATTATCCGTGGCTATTTATCATCTTTGTTTATCTTCATAAATATAATAAAAAGAGGAGTTTCTTTCATCCGGAAATCCAGAATTCGAAAAAGTAATTAATTAATATTTGGTGGTTTTAATTACACTATGTCGCTTCTTCTAGCTATCTCTACATATATATATATATGTGGAACATCTTTTTTGCTTGGTGGCAGAAATAGGGAAGGTGGCAGTACTACCCTGGACGAACTCTTTCACAATGAGCTCTACTACTACAAAATAGCGTATAGGTATAGCGTCTGACACGGTTTGCTAGGAGACGTTAGTTCGAATCCAACTGGATCAAAGTGATTTTTTTTTGAGTATTCGATCTTTATTTAATAATTATAACAAACCAGTGGAGTAATTTAAAAAATAATAATTTTATTATCATGGTGGAGAAACATGTCATCCTGATGTTCAATAAAAAAAACTTAATTACAATTATTAAAGCGACATCTCTAGTCAGCGGCTGGTAGCTGTAAAGGTACCTCCCTGAGTGAAGAAAAACTTTCATTTATTTCTCATAGATGGCGCTACAGCAAACAAGCCGTCAAAACCAAAACAAAGATATGCAACAAGCTCATGAAAAAATTCGTGTCCGTTGGCTCGTTCCGTGGCTTAGTTGGCATAGTGTCTAGCACAGTTTGCTGGGAGACGTTGGTTCGAGACTTGCGTGTGGGACTTGAGACGTTTTGCAAGGGTTGTGAACCTTCTTTAACATTCACGTTTCATCACGAAATTTTCTTTCACCGTTAGAGATCGTGGTAAATTCCAAATTTAACTCCGCACATAAATTCCGAGGAACTTAGAGGTTCAAATCCAGATTCAAACCTACAACCTCTGCTAGGGAGATATTTAAGCCCATTTAGCTTATGTTATTATTACATAAGTGTAATATCGCTACTCGCTGTTTATAGCATAGTTTAATTATATTCTCTATTCATTAATTTACTTTACTTAGGTATACAAACGTTATTCAGAACAAGTTATCGAATGAAAGTTGCCGATCGTCCTATTGTTTACAAAGCAATGTAATATAGAAATCACTTATTTTTTAAAATAAAGTCTGGATTTTGTTCAATGTTATTAATTTATTTTGAGGCAAGACTAGTGCATAAACAAGTCTTAAAAATTTATATAAAAGGATATTCATTTTTTAACCGATTTCAGAAAAGGAGGAGGTTCTCAATTCGACTGTATGTTCTTTTTTTTTTGTATGTATGTTACGCGATAACTGGCTGTTCACGCACGAAGATTCGTTTTTATAAATAGCGCCTAACTTTAATTTAGGAGCAATTACTTTTAGCAATTATTTAGTTGATTTTGCTATTTCTCCAATTCAAGGCGTTTTTCTCTGGATATACTTTGAGTAGTGTCGTAGTGAGGACCTATTTTTATTATCTCCAGTATCAAGTCCTGTATAGTGGCGAACTAGGGGATATTTCAATGAAACTTAGCAAATAGACGTAATTCCACGTACTTTTGAGGTCGGTTTTTTAGTACTCTGTACCGAGATTATCTTATAATCCATTTTACCGACTAACCCCGTAAACGCTGTTGGATAACGATATCGCATCTGAACCCGAATCGAACGTTTAAGTCGAAGGTTCTGAATAACTCTAATAACAAGTAATAAACTAAAAAAAAATAAAATAAAATAATAACAAGTATTTAATGCTTTCTTTTTAACAAAGAGAAACCTTTGTACAATTCAGTATTACAACATTACTAAAAGCCTTTTGCCGTTTCGCAGTGATCGCGCAGACACTTTGAGGTCAGGTTGCAAATATCACTGGCAGTCAACTAGTGTTTGGATAACGTCGGTTTGGGTTATCGATATTCCTTTTTCGAACGTCAGTTGTGAATGTATTAATAAAGGCAATTTCTTATTCGTGAGCGCGCTCGTATTCGTCCCGCCCGAATCCGATATTCGGATATTCGCCCGAATCCGAAATTATACAATTCTCGAAAATTCGGACTCACTTCGAATGTCGCTTGTGCACTAAGTCCGTCGAATCCGAAAAAATACGAATATGGCTTGTACACGTGATATTCGGACCGTCATTTTCTCGTATTCGGAACTGGGGGTCTATTCTCGGTCTCCGTTCGACATCCGTCCGAAACAATTACTGCCAAATAAGCATTACTTGACCAAATGAAAAGACGCGTGATGCGAATGAAGCTTCATACTGGATACTTGTCTTATATAAATCGGACGTAATGCGCAAATGTAGTAAGTCATTCTACAGTTACACGATTTTCGTTAACAACTTAAAAGAAAATATGGATAAAAGTTTCAACGCCATCTAGCGGCATCTTGCCTAAACTAAATGATGTGACATACATTGTTTGTGGTATATAAAAAACAGATATGTAAAAATACTTTAGTAGCAGTAAAGAGTCTATGAAAGTGTTCATTCAGGGAAGTACCGCCACCTTACATATTTCTGCCGCCAAGCAGTAATGTGAGCAATACTGCGTTCCGGTTTTGAAGGTTAAGGGTGCTGGTGAAAATATAGGCACGTAGGCCTTGTCAACATATGCCTTAGGGAGACGGGCGCAATAGCAACTGCCATGGATAGGCGTTTCGCTTACCACCAGGTGCACGATCTGTTCGTCCCGTCGCTTTATATCATTAAAAAAAATATATAGAGTTTCTGTGCGTTACAAAAGCGCAATTTACGTTTTGACTTCTATCATGTTTAATTTTTTATTGAAAAATTTTAATACAATGAATAGCGACATTTCTAGCAGAGGCTGGTTGCTGTAAAGGTATCTAAGTGGGTGACGAAATATCATAAATTTCTCATAGATGGCGCTACGGCTAAAAAGTCTTTGACAAACCAAATACCAAGATACGACGCAAGCACATAGAATAATTCGTGAGATCCGCTGGTTCGTTCCGTGGCTTAGTTGATATAGCGTCTGGCACGGTATGCTAGAAAACGTCGGTTCGAATTCGGCCGTATCGAAGGATTTTTCTGAGTGTTCGATCTTTGTATTAATAATTCTATCATGTTGTTAGGTTTTCCATTTTGTTTCTTAACATATTCTCTAATTAAAATCTCCTTAGCTCATTGTAGTTAATATAAACTGAACATAATGTAACACATGAACAGTATATCAATATCGATTCTCTTACATTAACCTACCTCATCACTAGTTTGAGCGATACTTGAAAGCGAAATTAAGGAAAGGAAAATTGCACGGCGAGTACCGCTGCATAGGTATGAGCAAGTCTCGAGTTACAGCGGTTTCTTCCATTGCTTTTAGACAATTACATTCCCTTAATGTTAGACAGTTGATGGTAGTTTTGATTAGGAAAACGGAATTTGTTTCGGTGCATTTTTTTATGATACCAAATGACGGGACGAACAAGTTGAACGCCTAAGTAAGCGACACACCTGTCCATAGCAGCTGCAGTGCCACACAAAGCTGTATTTCGCAAAGATCTGAATGGTAATTTCTGCCACTGCGCCCGTCACCCTGATACATAAGCCCTATGGGCCTTTCTCTTCAAAACTGAAACGCAGTACGATAATTCTCGGACTAGTGTTCACTACTTTTATTACTCGATAATATAACAAGTATATTATTATTATCGAGTAATAAAATTATTAATATATTAATGCAAACCACCCTA